ATAATTTAGTAAAGAAGACAAACCACGACCTGTTTTTTTTAAATGGTTTAGGATTTAGCATTTTTAAATGTTAATGAGGTGGTATCAGTAAAAATGATGGTGACTTGGGTGTGGGGGTATTACCACCACGACCAATCACTTTCTCGCTCTCTCTACAATACGAAACCAAGAGAAAGATAGAGAAACATAGAGAGATTTTGTTACCATGATTATTGGGCTCTCTCTACAATATGGAACCAAGAGAAAGATAGAGATTTTCTTACCATGATTATTGGGCTCTCTCTACAATATGAAACCAAGAGAAAGATTGATAGAGAAAGAGAGAGAGATTTTGTTACCATGATTATTGGGCTCTCTCTACAATATGAAACCAAGAGAAAGATAGAGAAAGAGAGAGATTTTGTTACCATGATTATTGGGGACAGCTTATATCAAAAGGAAAAAGTATGTACATCTTGTAGATAGGAATATGCATTGAAGATTCCCACTAACTAAAAGAATCTTTCCGTTAATTAAAAAGAGAAGGAAAAGGTGGCACCTAAACATATTGGGATCTCCCTTCCCTTCCATTGCTTTTTTCCAATTGTTTCCAACTTTGAAAACGTGAGCTCCCTGTTCTTTGGGGTATTTTATTACTTCGTTGACCAACTAATTTACATTATACTTAACCAAGAAAAAGTACTTTATATTTTAATTTTCTTGACTAAGTAATTTATGGTGTTTCACATGTCACGTCATCGAAGGCGTTCCTTGGAGACTTTTCCATTTGCCATGTACATGTCTCAAGTAAGTGCATTGAACACACTAATGCAGCCTAAGAAAGTACTAATCAAATAAAATTAAATAAAAAAGGTACTAATCAAAGGGATCATTTGGTATTAGTTTATTTGGATACATCAACAATCATGACCATGTAGCTTGGAAAGTTTTTATAGAGTGGTTGGTCATTATCGAAAATAGGCAGTTTTATAGCATACATGTGATTGAAAAATCGGAATCAAGCACCGAATCGCTAGAAATCCAACCCAATCTGCTTGGTCCTGCTTAGGTAATTCCATAACTAAATCACCAACAATATAGCAAAAATAAAAATTAAATAAAACAAAGAACCAAGGGAATAAAGAGATTCCAAGAACCATAATCTCACACCTCCTAATCCCGATCCAAATTGGCCGACTACGAGTCTGATCAAGGAGTTTTGTAATGCTATAGTATATATTTAAATTTGAAAAAAGTAGAGCAAGGTCATTCTTTCAGCATAACAAAGGGGTCATCACCGCTCAATCAATGGGTTGGAGGGTCATGGAGAGTGGGATCCTTGCAGACCACTTGTTGAGTGCGACAAGCCACACTTGTGACAATACTATTAAGATGAGAATATAAGTCATAGCATATGTTCACTAGGTGATATGGTGTTCTTTTTACATCATCCGTACCAGTTCTCTTTCCATTTAATTTTAATAAGAAGGTAATAACTTTCCAATCTAGAATCGCATCTTAATTGTTGGATTTGATAATCATATCGAACATTTCATTATAACTTATTATTACTCACATCAAATGTGACATTGGGCTGGTAAAAAAGAGGTTATACTCTGTGTCCAAAAAAAAAAAAAAACTATCTAACCTGGTAGCTAACAGTTTGCCACAAAATTCAAGAAAAATTTCCTTAAAACTCAATAACATTCAATAACACACCTCCAACAATCCAATTTTACATGTGACAATAATGGTGATTGTCACCTCCTTGTACTTTCAAAAAATAAAAATGCTTCAAATATATGCTCTCTTGTACTAGAGGTTTATTGTGGAGCAATGATAAACAAAAAGGCAAAAAACGATCCCATAGACGGTCCCAAGGGCCAACCTCATCGAATAGAGCCAAAGCTTATGTCTATGGGTGGTTGGCTAGGTACCCTTAGGCTGCCTAAGCAGACCGAGGATACATACACCTTGGTCGAGGGTGAAAGAAGGTCCTCACACAAGGGTATATATTCCCAAGTAAAAACAGGGGGAAGCGTTTTTAAGGGTCATTTTAGCCCCTCAAAACTTTGTGTTGATTTGGAAATTGAAAAACACCTAAAAGAAAAATCCGTTCGTTTAAAAAAAACAAAAAAAATCAAACTCTTCAATATCTTACAAAATCTTACGTATTCAATCAAATTCCTTTTGAGATTGGAAGTGGTTGTCAAGTAAGTCTTTGGACAACCGAAGGTCATCCATTGGATTTTGCGAGATGGGATGTATTTAATTTCTTGGTCAGAATTTTGGGACATCTACCAATGTTAAAAGTATTTGTTTGTTGTTCTTAATAATGTTGCATCCTTAAACAATTCAATTAGGCCGCACCTCCAAATTTTATCATAACATATAATTTTCGTATAAAAATTCTTAACATTATTTGAAAATTTATTTTTATATCTATATAAACTTTTAAACTTTAAAAATGGTTAAACTAAAAAAGATCTATAGACATATGGAAATCTTGAAAATGGACGGTCTAGATATTTTGTTGCAATATTACACTATTTTTTTATTTTTTTTCTTCATATTCATACATGATGTCCAGATAATGAAGTAGAGAGTTTCTCAATAATAGAACAACTTTTTTCAGAAGGATTTTTTATATGCATCTTGTTTTTTTTTTTTTTTTTTTTTGTAGAACAAGAGATGCATCTGTAATTCTCCATTTTAAGGTTGCAACCTTATGTAAGCTTTTTCCTTTTGTTACTATCTATGTTGATTATCTTTCAAGTGGAATGGAATTCGAGTGCAAAACCTCAAATATTTAATATAAAGCTATGATGATGACAACAATGATTTATACTAATTATTTTTCATTTTGATTTATGACGCGCAAGGGAAATTTGACATAATGGATGAATCTTCACTACTTTTCCACCGATTTAATGTTTTAGCCATTCAAATTCACAGTTGAAGGTTACATATTTTTAAGTTTAAATTGCACAACAAAATAACACAAGAATCTATGAAACAATACTCTTCACAAAAACAAATACAAGTTCCACTCATACAATCATGGGGGTTTAGTTCCCCCGAATATTAATCCTTAAAGGTCCTCATCTTGGAAGATGTGATGGGAAAAGACCATAAAAAGCATTTCAATGTTAAGATAGGATATGAGTACAACAAATAATAGCCTACCTCATACCCTATCCTCTAAATTCATATCAAACGGATTCTCTCTCTCTCTCTCTCTCTCTCTCTCTCTCTCTCT